TGTCCCCCGTGCGTGAAACTCACAGGGGTGGTAGCCCAGGCCGAGAAGAGTCCGTGGACACCTCGGGCGTGTCGGTCCGACACCGGGGGCCGGTTCTAGGGCGGTTTGGAAATTCAGCCCGGGACTCCCGGGCTGACGAAAAATAACCCTCACTCTGCGTCCCCAAAACGTGTTTTGAGAAAAAAACTAAGTGTTTAGGCTGTAGGACCAGGCACACGTTCGAAAATCAGACTAAGTGTTTTGAGAAAAAACCTAAGTGTTTAGGCTGTAGGACCAGGCACAAGTTGAAAATCAGACTAAGTGTTTTGAGAAAAAACCTAAGTGTTTAGGCTGTAGGACCAGGCACACGTTGAAAATCAGACTAAGTGTTTTGAGAAAAAAAAAATCAGAAAGTGTTTTGAGAAAAAAACCTAAGTGTTTAGGCTGTAGGACCAGGCACACTTGAAAATCAGACTAAGTGTTTTGAGAAAAAAACCTAAGTGTTTAGGCTGTAGGACCAGGCACACTTCGAAAATCAGAAAATCAGTACTAAGTTTTTTGAGAAGGCAAAGCAGCGCTAAGTGTGCAGTCCGAGGGGGGGGCTTAGTGGGTACCCGGGTAGGACCAGGCCCACGGTCCCTGGAGAAAATGTGGGGTGCAGTGGTAAGCAGCCTGCACAGAGCCCCCCTGGAGGTCCAGGCTTCCCCACACCTAACCATAACCCCTACGGAGATCCAGGCCCTCCCCACACCTAACCTTAACCCCCATGGAGATCCAGGCCTTCCCCACACCTAACCTTAACCCCCATGGGGATCCAGGCCTTCCCTACACCTAACCTTAACCCCCATGGAGATCCAGGCCGCCCCCACGCCTGCACATAGCCCCCCTGGAGATCCAGGCCTTCCCCACACCTAACCTTAACCCCATGGAGATCCAGGCCGCCCCCCAGGCCTGCACATAGCCCCCCTGGAGGTCCAGGCCTTCCCCACACCTAACCTTAACCCCCATGGAGATCCAGGCCGCCCCCCACGCCTGCACATAGCCCCCCTGGAGGTCCAGGCCTTCCCCACACCTAACCTTAACCCCATGGAGACCAGGCCCTCCCCACACCTAACCTTAACCCCATGGAGATCCAGGCCCTCCCCACACCTAACCTTAACCCCTACGGAGATCCAGGCCCTCCCCACACCTAACCTTAACCCCCATGGAGATCCAGGCCTTCCCCACACCTAACCTTAACCCCCATGGGGATCCAGGCCTTCCCCACACCTAACCTTAACCCCATGGAGATCCAGGCCGCCCCACGCCTGCACATAGCCCCCTGGAGATCCAGGCCGCCCCCCACGCCTGCACATAGCCCCCTGGAGGTCCAGGGCTTCCCCACACCTAACCTTAACCCCCATGGAGGTCCAGGCCTTCCCCACACCTAACCATAACCCCCATAGGAGATCCAGGCCGCCCCCCACGCCTGCACATAGCCCCCTGGAGGTCCAGGCCTTCCCCACACCTAACCTTAACCCCCATGGAGGTCCAGGCCTTCCCCACACCTAACCTTAACCCCCATAGAGATCCAGGCCTTCCCCACACCTGCACATAGCCCCCCTGGAGGTCCCGGCCTTCCCCACACCTAACCTTAACCCCCATGGAGATCCAGGCCGCCCCCACGCCTGCACATAGCCCCCCTGGAGGTCCAGGCCTTCCCACACCTAACCTTAACCCCCATGGAGGTCCAGGCCTTCCCCACACCTAACCTTAACCCCATAGAGATCCAGGCCTTCCCCACACCTAACCTTAGAGAAACCACTTCCCCACACGCTGCTGAACATCCAGGGGGGGACATTGAGCTTGTGGACAGCTTACGATTACCTGGGTGTTCACCAGTGGAGGCGGGGGGGGGGTCCCGGCTCAAAAGTGGCTAAAATGATGTCGCCGACATGCCTGCCAATTACCACCTCCGGGCGTGTGGGGTGGTGGACCCGGAATAAGAATTAAGCCAATGCTACATAGCACTAGTGGCCTGTTGGATAGCTCCAGTTAGAGCAATATTTATGGCCCCTTAGATTGTAAGGCGGAGGATCGCATGACTACTAGGGTTGGGCGATATTTTTTTTTGTACCGGCTTATAAGTAAATTAAATGATACAGAAAATTGCCTTTTATACCGGTGAAATCGATCATTTTTTAACACTGAAAACAGCGAGCGGCAAGACACGGTTGTGTGCGGCGCCACTTTAATGCGCATCTGCGCGGCCGTGTAGCAGAGAGGCGTGCAGGGACAACAACAACAGAGAGCAACACCATGCTGAGGGCGGCGCGTTTGAAGACCATTCGGTGAAGACCATGCAGATTGTAGAAGACATTTGTGCCAAAACTGAGGAGCTACCTCAAAATATTGGGAGTAGTTTGGGAAAACTAAGATCAAAAAGAAGCAATTGTGTGTAACCTATCGACAGTGGATCTAATGTTGTGAAAGCAGCAGCTGCCCTAAACCAGTGGTTCCCAAAAGTGGGGGTCCCGAACCCCCGGGGGGTCGCGGGGAACCCCTGGGGGGGGGGTCGCAAGATGATTTCCAAAAAAAAAAAAAAAAAAAAATAAAAAACATTTCGCTAATTAATAGCCCTAAATATTGATATAACATTTGATTTGATTTCAAAAGGACTACTTGTAAATAGATTGTGTTAGGAGAATATAAATTATTTAAATTACGTTTGTAATTTTGTCCAGTCATTGACAGCGTTCAATCAAAAATCAAGTTACGTAGCTTACGTTACGTCCCACGGCAGCGAACAAAGCGGTGTCCAGCAGTTGTTTGCTAAAAACCTAAATGGTGTTTGGAGGCTTCAAACAAATAATAACCTGCTTTTTTAAAATGAACGTGGTAATATCCATCTACAGAAAAACCCGGAGGGAGAGAATAAGTCACATGTTGAGGTCAGGCTCCATGGTGCGAGAAGAGGGAGATGAGGCGCGGAGGGAGACGAAGGCAGCGGTTTAGAAGCAGGGAGAAGAGGGTGGTTTAAAGAGGCCCGGCTTTTCGGACGTCAGTGGTAAAGAGGTCGCACATTAAAAGCGGGTGGGCGGGTGGACCTGCTTTATGCGGTTACTTACAGTAACTTTGGAAAAGAAAGCCGCGGGGGAGATGAAAGCGCAAAAGTCAACAGCAGAGAAAGCGGGGGGCCGCCCGCTTTTTATGTGCGGACCTCTCTTTACGTCTGACTACGAAAAGCCGGGCCACTATACCACCTCATCTACCAGCTGACTTCTCTCCCTCGCTGCCCCTCTCTCCCTCTCTTCGCACCATCAGCATGACCCTCAATGTGATTTTCTCTCCCTCCGGGTTTTTCTGTAGTGAGATATTAACCACGTTTCATTTGAAAGCAGTGTTTATTTGTTTGAGCTCCAAACACCTTTAGTTTTAAGCAAACAAAAACAAGATGGTCACGCTTGTGCTGCGTGCGTAAGCTACGTAACTTGATTTTTGATTGACGGCTGCCTCAATGAATGGACAAAATTACAAACGTAATTTAAATATTTTATATTCTCCTAACACATTAACAAGTAGTCCTTTTGAATCAAACTCAAATGTTAAATCACTAGTTAAGGGCTATTAATTAGCTAAATGTTTTTTTTTTTTTTTTTTTTTTTTGGATACTATCTTGCGACCCCCCCCAGGGGTTCCCTGCGGAACCCCCCGGGGGTCGGGCCCTCACTTTTGGGAACCACTTGTTTAGGGGCAGCTGCTTTCACAACATTAGAAATCCACTGTCGATAGTTACACACAATTGCTTCTTTTGATTCTAGTTCCCAAATACTCCCATATGTTTTGAGGTAGCTCGCGTTTGGGCACAATGTCTTCTACACTCTGCATGTCTTCACCATGGTCTTCACCGCCGCCTCAGCCATATTGTTTGCTCTCTGTTGTTGTTGTCCCTGCACGCCGCTCTGCTAACACGTGCCGCGCAGATGCGTCATTAAAGTGCGCCGCACACAAACCGTGTCTTCGCTTCGCTGTTTTCAGGTGTAATGATCGTTTTCACGGTATAAGGCATTTTCTTTATCATTTAATATACTCTATAACGGTACAAAAAAACATGCCCAACCCTAGTAGTCATGGCTATCTCCGCCTTACAATCTAATGGGCCAAAAAAATACTTGTCTACTGGAAGCTATCCCTAACATGGCCACAAGTGCTAGGTTAGAAGTTGGCTAAATCTTATTCGGGTCCACCCCACCGGCCCGTGACGGTGGTATTTGCAGCATGTCGGCGCACATCATTTTAGCCACTTTTGAGCCGGGACCCGCCTCCACTGGTGAACACCCCAGGTAATTTAAGCTGCTCCCCCAGCTCAATGTCTCCACCCTGGATGTTCAGCAGCGTGTAGGGAAAGTGGTTTTCTCCTGAAGTCGAAGATCATCTCCTTGGTCTTACTGGTGTTCAAGCACAAGTGGTTGGCTCACACATGTCGACAGCTGTGATAAAACTGACGATATTCCAGTTGGTTCCCCTTTTTCAAAAACCACACAGCCCACGATGGCGGAGAACTTGCAGGTGGACAGCTGTGTGTGTGTCGTATGTGAGTCTGAAGGTCGTTAGATGGTGAAAGTTGAAACGGTAGGAGAGGACCAGTCCCTGATGGGGCCCAGAACTGCCGCAGACTACCACCTCTGAACCCACAGCCGCACGTATCTGTGGGTCGGTCTGAGAGGTAGTCGATGGTCCCTGCAGTTGATGGGCTACTGTCCACTCCTGCGACCTCATCTTCCCCCGCAGCAGGAGTACCGGCCTGATGGTGTTGAAAGCACTGGAGAAGTCGAAAGAACACGACCCTCACAGCGCTGCCCGGTGGGCTCCAGGTGGTCGAGAATTTTGGAGCGTCCGCTGCGAGATAGTATGATGCGTGGCGTCCTCTACTCCGATATGGGCTGTAGGCGCACTGCAGCGGAGTCCAGGTTGGGGCTGACCCACAGAGCGGAGATGGGTTGAGGGGATGAGCCCGCTTCATGGCATCATCATGTGGGAGGTCAGAACCCCACACCCCCCCACTCCCCCCCCCCCACCCCCACACCCCACACCCCCCCCCCGCACCCACCCCCCCACCCCCCCCCACAAACCCCCCCCACCCCCCCCACCCGACCCCCACCCCCCTCCCCCCCCCCACCCCCACCCCCACCCCCCAAACCACCCCCACCCCAACCACCCACCCCCCACCCCAAACCCCCCCCCCCCCCCCCATCCCCCAACCCACCACAACCACCACCAACCCCAAACACCCCACCCCCCCCGTTCTGTAGTGAGCCGGTTCCTTGGCTTGCGCGGTATTAGGAACCGGGAGCACACACTAGGTCTTCCACAGGACAGGGACCTTCTCCAGGCTGAGGCTCAGGTTGTAGATGTAGGTGTGGAACTCAGAGAGTGGGACCGATCCCGTACGGGGCTTGCGGATTCCTAGTAATGGGTCGGCTCTGCCTCACACACAAATCCCGTGGTATGCCTTGCCTTGATCAGTACAGTGAACCATGAGTTGGCCCCCCGTGAGTTGTCCCCGATATTTTCCAAAATTTCCTGGATCCGGGGGAAGGGTGGGCGGTGGCGATCAGGCAAGTCATTTTGGTTTCAACAGTCTGTAATCCACAACATAGACCGGAGGGTTCCATCTTTTTTTTGGGACACATTACAATAGGTGACGAAATAGTGTGAACATGACTTTTGAATCCATCCTTACTCAGCGTCTTGAATGTTGAGACTTTACTTTCTGGTAGAAGATGACGTGCGATAGGAGTTATAAGACCTTTGGATGGGTACGTATGTGTTTTAACTGAATGTTCATTGAAGTTCTTTAATAATCAGTGTCCCAATCGTCCTTGGCAAACACGTGGCTCTCCTATCTCAGCAACTGCTTGACTTTTTTTGCTGCTGTCTGGAGAGAGATGGCTCAGGTCCACGGTGGATCCCATAGCTCCCCTTGTGGCCCCTCCCATGTACCCTGAGCTGTTGATGCCGTGCTGCCCTCTTCCTCCTGGGGTTCCATCGGGCACACCTTTCAACACTATGCAGCCAGCCTAGTGTTGTACAGCCACAATTGTAAGAGTCCAATATTATTTTTCCAGTCCACTCCAATAATAGACTCCTGTGAGCCACTGTCCCAAAAACAGTCGTATCCACTATTTAATGACGCTATGACCAGGGGGCATATTCGTCCACTGCTTAGCGGTTTGTCTTGCGTAGTACTAGGTGAGAAACTCCAAGATGGCGCCGTGCCAGGAGCGTCGCTGCAAGTGCTCCGTTGTGCACCGTTGATTTAAGTAGTCAGCGGCTCTTCTTTTTGCGGAAACTTAGAGAGTTACCAATAACTCTAAGATTCTGCTTAACTTTCATCGCGGCACCAATGAGAGTTTACTTGTTGGTTCTGTGACTGTGTGGTTTCGTAACATCACAAATAAAGAAAAGAGCGTTAAAAAAGGTTCTTCGCTCTGCAAAGAGGGACTGTGGGCTGTACGTTCTGTTCTGGAGGTTTTTATGAATCCAGACTCTATAAACAGAGCTATTAAAATCATCAATGACATCTTTCTGGCCACCCTGGGAAAAAGCCTGTTTCCAGCTTCTTCCCTCTGGAAGAAGATATCGGTCGCTGAGATGCAGACATCTCGCTAACAGAGAACTTTAATTCCTGCTATGACCCCTTGTATCGTTTTTGTTGATCGGTTGCCACCGGGACAAGCTGTTGTTTTTTATATTCTTTTATTTTCAGTGTAGGTGTATTTTATATTACATTGTATCCGTGCTTTTGGTCTGTCGGTGCACACAGAGTACCTTTTTGCAAATGTTTTCCAATGTCGTTTTTATACTGCACATGCTAATAAAATGAATCTGACATCGAGGGGGCTCTGTCCTGGTAGAACTGGCTTCAGTTTACCAGATGTACCAAAGGTCAATTTAATTAGACGAGGCTGAACATGAGTGACTTTACGAAAGCCAATAAGCCCAGTGGTCAGAACTGCCACATTTATAACTGTGGTTACACTTGCCTTGAGGATTGGTGATCTGGCAATGATGACACCTTCCCGGGGGTCTCTGGCGTTGCCTGAAAGTTCCTGCCCGAGCGGCGTGGTAAGATCTGTGTGGTGTGGGGGTCTTTGGGCTTGCTGGAGGCCTGAGAGAGCTGTGTAGACTTGTTGTATAGCTTCACAGATTGCTTTTATTGCCTTTGATCATTTTTCCGTCAAAGTCTCACGTTTTTGGGGGGTTCACTGGGCATGTTATTGTGGATGTGGGGCTGTGCTCTCCCTGTTAAATGTAAGGTCCTCCACCATTGCAGAATAATCACTGCTTTGGACTGGTCGCTAATTGGTTTTTTCATTCCGATTTCCAGTGTGTATGCATCTGTAACTTTCTCCAACAGCACTTCAGACACATTTAATCTCGTAGATATGGCTTTAAATCAGTTCTTATGGTGTCTGTCAATCGCCTGGTAAGTACAGTTTGCAAAGAATTGAATCTGTGATAAATCCGGGTGTATTTGGTCCCACTTTGGGCCCTTTCGGATAGCAAATAAAATTTGCCGTCTTAAGTCCATTGCTCCTGAGCACAAACTGAATTGGTGTCTCCCTGGGAGTCCAGTTCTGTCCAGGACCTACTGTAACATTATTTAGTGCTTTTTGGATCTTGACTCTCCAAACTGGGAATATCCAAGTTTGTCTTTTTGATGTTGGTTCACCAACTGTCCCATTATACGTTCAGTTCTTTTCTGTACAATTGGTGCACAAATGGTGGTTGGCATTAAATGGAGTCATAGTCACATGGAAACGGCACTGAATAGTGGGTGCAGCACGCGGGGCAGATGCACTTTGGGTTATGTGATGCAGTACTTCTGTATCCAGCAGAGGGAGAGCTGGCGCCGCAGGAAGTAGCTGAGGGTACAATCTTAATTCATCAATGCGGACAGTAAACTATGAGCAACAACGATAATCCTTCATCCTCGGAGCGAGACAACATCTTCTCCTTCCAGATTCTGTAGTGATAGTCCTCATTGCAACGAGGCTAAGGTCCTTGTCCTCTTCACTACAGATGCTCCCAAAGATTGGAACAAAGATATATTAAATCCGCAGCACAGACAAAGTCATTAGATTTTCCTCAATCCGTCCATTGCATTCTCCAATCTCCGACATCTTCGAATGTTAAGTATACATATTTGTAAAGTTTTTACCGTGCGTACAGGTAAACAGCTTCAGTCTCGTGAGTGCGCTGATGCCTCTGGCCTGAAGCTGGTGGCTTTGTAGGGGTTAAACTCCAAACTCTGCTCTTTTCCACAACAGCGTCGTTCCAATGCGATCTCCCAAACCCGAGCAGAATCACCAAGATTCGAAGTTGCACTCTTAAATGACCAGGAACAATACAAATAGTCGTTTTACAACGTTTTTGGTCCCCGTTCCGAGTCACCGGTAAAGGCTACGAGGGTGACTAAATCATGATCGCACCCGTCAAACACTCACTAGTTCGCAGGTGTGGCCGTGGTTGATACATTTGCAGCTAGCCCCTCAATGATAAAATACGTGCATAGATTTATTAATATCAATCAAATTCAATCAAAGTTTATTTGTAGCAGCGCCTTTATACACGGGCAACACAAAGCGCTTCACAGTCCCACATCCAAAAATCATCACATAAAAACAAACACCAGAATCACAATTTAAAACATTTTAAAATCCACACAAAAGATTAAAACACAATTAAAACATTAAAATCACACTTAAGAATTAAAACATTAAAAACTTTCAAAATTTACAAGAAATTTTTTACAAAAAAATAAAAAAATTGACAGCACGTGCATTTAAAAATGGAGAATAAAATCCCTTCAGTTATATGCACAGGCAACAGAAACAGTCTTTAACCGGATTTGAACATTGACAGAGTAGAACGCATCCCTACATTTTCAGGGAGATGCCTGTTCCAGATCTTAGCTGCATGGATCTGAAACGCAGCCTCCCCATGTTTGGTTCTCACCTGGGCACCTGCAGGAGGCCAGTCCTGTGCTCCTCAGAGTCGGGCGGTTCATATGACACCAACATTGTCACTAATGTATTCTGGTGTTTAGCAAGGCCATGGAGAGACTTGTACACAAGCAGAGCGTTTAAAATCTATTCTTTGAGCCAACAGGAAGCCAGTGAGGGACTGAGGACTCGGACTAATATGGTCATACTTCCTGGTTCTTTCCAGGACTCTAGCTGCTGCAATTTTGGATGTACTGCAGCTGCTTACAGGTCTGTTTGGACAGACCCTGTAAGCAGGCCATTGCAGTAGTCTAGCATGCTGGAGACAAAATGCATGGACAAGAATCTCCAAGTCTGACCCTGGACACTATATTTCTAACTTTGGCAATGTTCTTCAGATGTAAAAAGCTGGTGATGTTATTGATTTTATGTGGCTATTGAAAATTTAGGTCTGAGCCAGTATTACCCCATATTTCTGACCTTGTCTGAAGGAAGTAGTTACGGAGAGGAGGACTGAAGTGGACAAATGGACGCCCTCTCTTGGTTTCTGGGGACCAAAGGACAATGATTTCGGTTTTGTCTGCATTTAGCTGGAGGAAATTATGTTGCATCCACGTCACTGATCTGTTGGATTACAGTAAGGAGCATATTCAGTGGTCCAGTTCTCCTGCAGTCAGTGAGACATTGATCTGAGAGTAGTCAGCGTAATTGTGGTAGGACACTTTGTTTCTTAGTATTAACTGACCTAACGGTCAAGCATGTAGAGAATTAAATAGTGAAGGGTCCCAGGATCGACCCTGTGGTACACCACAGGTCAGGGCCACATCATCTGAGACGCCAAGTCTCCAAATCTCAACAGAGTACTTCCTCTCCTCCAGGTAAGACCTAAACCAGGTCTAGGGGACTGTGCCAGAGTGGACACCAGACCAGTCCTCCAGTCTCTGCGATGAGGATCTCATGGTCGACAGTGTCGAACGCGGCACTAGAATCTAACATGACCAAAACTGTGACTTCTACCTGCTAAAACAGTGTGAAGTTCGGAATGTCGTTTGTTACTCTTCATAGAGCGGTCCAGTGCTGTGGTGGGGTCTAAACCCAGACTGGAAACATATCAAAAGAATTATCATTGTTAAAAATTCAGTAAGTTGTTGGTGAGCCACTTTTTCAAGAATTTTCCAATAAATGGCCAGTTAGATGATGGGGCGATAATTTTAAGTCCCGCAGGATCCAGACTGCTCTTTTTTAGGAGAGGTCTTATGACTGCTGTTTTAAGGCCATATGGAAATGTTCCTGACATG